TTGGCAAATTGATATTTAAATAACACAATTCATTTATGACATCACCCCTTACAATTTAGCCCGATTCCATCTCATGATCCCTCTGACATCTCCTGTAAATTTGGGTGAGCCACTTTAGTAATATCCAATTTGGTTCAGTACTTTTTACTAATAGAAAGTTTCATTGGATCTTTTAAAGGGAAATGGAGTGGGTAATCATTCTGATCTCCAGGGCACTGTGGACAGAAATGGATTTGCCGGAGTTAGTGTAGGTCTTGGTCTACCTCTTCAATAACATATGCCTTAGACAATACTTTGAACCTCTCTGGGCCTTTTCCTTCTTTTCTTCTTTGCTTCTTTCATTAAGAAACAGAGTTGGCTGGAGTTGGGAGGAGCGGACGAGGATCGAAAAAATACTGATTCGACACTGAGGCTTGATACCTGTGTGATGAAATAATCTGGTACAGCCAAACCACCGTGACATGAGTTTATCTATATTACGAAACTGCCACATGTTACCCTTGAGCTAAAATGCAAGTTTGTTTGTTTTTCAAAAAGCAAACAGTTATTTCAGAGATGAATCCAACAAAAAAAGAAAGAAAGAAGAAAGAAAGAAAGAAAGAAGAAAGAAAGAAGAAAGAAAGAAAAGAAAGAATGTAAGAAGAAAGAAAGAAAGAGAAGAAAGAAAGAAAGAAAAAACTTTGGAAAGTTAAGGAGAGTAGAATTAAGAAACCAGGACAGGGGAGATAATGGCCAAGCGATGTTAACTTCAACAGCAGCTGCGCAAGATCAGGGGATAGACAACTTGCTCCATGTTACTTAGACCGAGCCCGCTTTAGCGGGCTTGTTAATGACGCATCATGTTTCCTGTTTTGTCAGACCCTTTGAGTAAGGACTGGTACGTAAGGCAAAGCCCAAGTGAACGTGGAGGTTGGAAGGCCTGAATCTGTCTCACTGCACAACTCTGCCAGGGATTATAACCCTTAGTAAGTTATAGACACAGCAAAGACTCAATAGAGCATTTCTTCAATTCTTTCTTCTGTATGAGAAAATGTTTCCATACAGAGATCTATGGCCCTATTGTTGGAAACAATCCACAGAGAGGCAGGGCATAGGCTTTACTGCAGCTCCTCCTAAAGCCGTCTGCGTGGCTCTGGTCCTCTTTCCCTCAGCATATTTGCCCCTTTTCATTGGGTGCCCTGAAGAATGCTTGTCCCCAGTGGAGTCACGTTGAATTATACCGGGAAACTCCCTGGCCTCTGATGTGCATGATTTCCACTGCACAATTCTCTAAAGACCTCTGCTCTTGCAGGACCTGAAAGAAAAACAGCATACACCTGGGGACAAAAACCAACACCCCTCCCTAAAGCACCCTTTCCTCGCTCCCAGTCTCAGATAAGGTTTTCCTATGAAACCACTGAAAAGAGAATAGGAGGGTTAAGAGAAAGCAACAAGGAAAAGTGCAAGACTTAGCTTGGAAAATAGGGCAAGTATTTGTTCGTCAAGAGTGGAAAACTCACATAACTATAGGGATCAGGTGGGCAACATGAATGAATGGACCCCATTGGGAAGGAACTCTCACAGTGCCTGCCCTGCCACTAGCATTCAGTCGATGTTCCCAGACTTGATATTAAGAAGAAGAGGTGAAGAAAGAATTGTACCTGCAGATGGAGACCATGCAGAAGGGTGGGATGGTCAAAAAAAAAGACTAGATGGACGCAAAAAGAAGAGGACAGGGCCAACACAGAAAAGACAGAGTTCAGGTGACACCTCTACCTTTCTTTCATTGTAGGTGGAAAGGAGTCTTCGTCTGAAACTGATAAGTCAGCCTGATGCTCTGTAAGTTTGCTGGGTCACGTGCCCTGAATATTTCAACCTTTTCTCTGCTGTGACCCATGGAAGTTCTCAGCTGGATTAATTAGATCTAATCCAAATACTCAATTTCTGTGTGGTGGGGGTTCACCTCTGCTTTTCTGGAGCCTCTGGGAAACTCCTGATCCAGCACACTCGCTTGCAAAGCCTGGCCATGCATCCTGCACATCCCATGACACAGGGAGCCTAGCCTGACATTTTTGAGAAGGTGCCACCCCGATCCATCAGAGCTGTAGAGGAGGGAAGCTGGACCCTGGAAGATACTCTGAAGAAAAAGAGAGAAAACATGTAGTGAGGAGAGAATGCAGTGGGGAAAAGTACAAGAATACTGACCTTTTTCTTATCTGCATCTCCTTCCTTTCAGAATGGAAAATGGCCCTCTTCAAGTCTGGTGAGTAAATCACTGTATGTTCCCTGCACCAACAACCTGAGGGACTATATTCCTTTTTCGTTTTTTCTTCTCCAACTATTGTGATTTGGGGAAGAAAAGTTCCCTTGACATCCTTTGTGGGTAGGAAGACACATAAAGGGTGGAGCTGAGGGGAAGGAGACACACACTGAGTGATACTGCATGGAGAGTGAGGATGGAAATGCCAAACAGAGGAGGCGATGCCTGCCCAAAGAACTTTGTCCTTCTTAGGCTTCCCATGCCACCTACTGCCTGTGTCTCCTCAAAGGATTTAATGCTTCCAAGCTTTGGCCTCCACATTTTTAGATGATGATTGCAATCTGTGTTTCACGGGGGCTGAGGTGAAGACTGAGGGAATAATGAACTTGCTTGGCAGGAACCTAGCAAGAAATAGATGGCAAGTTCAAACTGGGTGGTTGAACAAGGTTTCCAGAAAGGAGGGTTAAGAGAAAGCAACAAGGAAAAGTGCAGTGCCCCCATGATTCCCAACAGTGGGGAGCTGTCTCCACCCCTAGCCTGCGAGGGCTAGGGAGGGGAGGCAGTTACTGGAACCCAGAGAAAAGTAGCTCAAAGACAGGGTTTCTTGAGAGAGTCGACAGGCCTTGTTAGAGCAGCACCAGCTGCTGCTAGCAGGGAGGAGGCAGGAAATTAAACGGTGTGTCTTTCCTTTCTTTCTCCTTCCAATCTTCTATCAGGGCTTCCCACTGGCCAAACCCAACAGCAAACCAGAGGACAAGGGAGCCCAGTGGCATTGTTCTTAAAGGACAGATTCCTGGGGCCCAGAAGAAGGTGAAGAAAGCTGAAGGGTAGAGAGTGAACCTGGGGCATATAAGGCCTCACATAGAGCCCAGCACAGAGACGGCCTTGCAGCTATTAGAAGATCAGAAGCTTCCTTCATGCCCTGCTGTAGGCTGAGTACATAACATCATTGCCTTATACAACGCTAGAGATTCATGTTTTAATCTGATTTTTCAGGTGAGGAAATGCTTCAGATGAGGCTCCACCTTGTTAAACAAACTGGATGTATGGAAAAATAAACTGCAGAAAAGGGGAACTCATTTAGCTCATGAGTGGTCGAGTGAAGGTTGAAAATTAACTTCTGATCATAAAGCATTAGTGGGCAGAGTCAATGTGGGGAGGAAAACAAGAAAAAGGTAGAAAGAGGCTGCTTGCTGCTTCCTGAGGCAGCATCAGGGTGTTGGGTTAGGCAGATGCTGAGGCAACTCTCATTTCACCCTCCTCTTCCCCTCTGGACACAAGATACCTGGGGCTTTCTCTCCTGGCATCAATGAGAGAGTCACATTTAGGGAAGGCTAGGGACGCCGGGCTCTGGACTCAGGTCTCCTCAGCACAGCCCAGGCCTTGGCATGCTGAGGCTCTGAAATCCAGGAAAAATGCTCGACCCCATGGACACTTCCTCAAATTCTCTACAGCGGATGTGATTCTGGATCCCAAAACAGCAAACCCCATCCTCCTTGTTTCTGAGGACCAGAGGAGTGTGCAGCGTGCCAAGGAGCCCCAGGATCTGCCAGACAACCCTGAGAGATTTGATTGGCATTATTGTGTTCTCGGCTGTGAGAGCTTCATGTCAGGGAGACATTACTGGGAGGTGGAGGTAGGGGACAGGAAAGAGTGGCATATAGGGGTGTGTAGTAAGATTGTGCAGAGAAAAGGTTGGGTCAAAATGACACCTGAGAACGGATTCTGGACTATGGGGCTGACTGGTGGGAATAAGTATCAGATTCTCACTAAGCTCAGAACCAACCTGACACTTCCTGAGCCCCTAGGAAATCGGGAATCTTCCTGGTCTATGAGACTGGAGATATGTCATTCTGCAATGCTACGGATGGGTCGCATATTCACAATTTCCTGGATATCTCCTTTTCTGGGCCTCTGTATACCATTTTCAGAATTTTGACCTAGGAACCCACTGCCCTGACCTTTGCCCAGCACCAAAAGAAGTAGAGAGTTCCCTCCTTCCTGACCTAGTGCCTGATCATTCCCTGGAGACACCAGTGGCCCAAGCTTAGCTAATGAAAGTGGGAAGCCTCAGGCTGAAATAATGTCTCTACTTCTCTCTGCCCAGCCTGAATCTGAGGGTCCCCTTCTCCACAGCAACCAATCACAACCATAAAGCTACAGGCACACACTGAAGAACGCTACTGATATTCATTCTATTTTATTCTGTATACCAAATCTTAGAGTTTCATACCACTTTATTGTCCCCTTTATGCAGATACGGAAACTGGGGTACAGAAAAGTGAATTAACTTTCCAAATTTGGCATGACTAGTAAACAACAGAGCTGGGATCTAAACAGCAATAACTAACATTAATGGAGAATTTAAAATGTTCTGAGTGCTGTGTTATGAGCTTTGGTGGATGTCACTCCTTTAATCCTCACAACACCCTGTCGGGTAGTCTCATTTTGCAAGTATGGAAGCTGAGGCAGGGCAACATTAAGTAACTTACATAACTCCTACGGTAATTTGTGCTGTTGGGAGATGGTCAGCTTCAGTCTCTGGCCATTTGCCCATTCTTTTCCACCCTGATTCTTCCCCCATGGGAAAAACCCACCTGTAGCCCTGAGGTTCTTTTCCCAGGACAGCTCCAGGGTAAGGATCATTGTAGGTGGTTGTGGAGTTGGCATTCCTTTTGACTCCTTTGCAGCTGATTGTCAGAGCAATAGACCCAGCACTCCTTGGATTAGCTCTGCAGAGTGTCTTGGTTGAGAGAATAACCTCACAGTACCCACGTGATGTGTAACTGGGAAAGAGACTAAAGGCCACATGACATGTAACTGGGAAAGAAACTAAAGGCCATACTCAATGTATAATGAAGCCCTGGTAGGTAACAGAGCCTCTGGGAGGTAAACAGTGTGAATTAGGATTTGAGTTGACTTTGAAGGCTAGCATGTCAAGTCTCCTAAAAACCATCACCTCCTATGGGTGGTAGAGAGTGGTGGTTATGGAAGACCTAAACTAGAAAGAAGGGTCAATATCTTTAGGTCAAAAGGTTTCTTAGGCTTCTGCCCCCTTGGCAGGAGGGACTCCTTCCTGCCTAGGGGATTTTCCAAGGGACAGAGCTGGGGAAAATCCTTATTGATACACACCCATAATTCATTCAACAAATGCTCGAGAATCATATTGTATGTTCAAGACACTGTTCTAGAAACCAAGGGTAAATCATTGAGCAAACTATATTAAGATCTCTTCTCTCAAAAAGTGGTTAAATAATTAACCATATATTCTATCAGATGGTGATGAATATCTGTAGGAAACATTAAGCAAGGAAGGAAAAGAGAGGTAGGGGCATGAGACAGATATGTACCCCCAACAAATGTGATAAGTGATCATGGAGCCAGAGCCAGCCTTCCTATAGTCAAAGTTTCCAGGTAGAACAAATACTCTGTGATATAAGAAATTTGGATGAAGGAAGCTGGAAGAATTACAGGGATATTTTTAATCCCTCTATGGATTCAGTCTGCTGGAAAGGGGTCTATCCACCCCTGTTCATTAGTGGATGTTAAACCCATATTCCTTTCAACTGATGCCTGCTTGGGAAAACTACTCCTCATTATCATCACTATTGTTGCTCACCATTGTATCCCCTCTTCTTGGCATGTGCTTGTCAAGTCTTGGTTGTTCAATAAATTTGTTAATAATGCTTACTCTTCAACTTGGCTTTTTCTGGACTCTAATAAGTCTACTCAGCACAGCAGAGCAGTCTACATACCCATTGTACTCACCACAGATTCAGTTTACCTTATTGCAACTTTTGCCCAACACCCTTATTGTATCCATTTTTCTACTGCAGCCATCTGAATTACCACAAATTCATTGACTTAAAGCAAGACAAATTTATCTCACAGTTTTGTAGGTCAGAAGTCCAACAGGAGTTTCACCAGGCTAAAATCACTGCACTCCAGCCTGGACAACAGAGCTAAAACCCTCTCTCTAAAAAAATATATAAATAAAATTAAAAAGAAAAACAAAAGAGCCATTGCCTAACAGATGGAGCCTCTGAGAGGTAAATAGTGTGAATTAGGATTAGAGTTGGCCTTGCAGGCTACCATGTCAAGTCTTTGCAGGCTACCATGTCACCCATAACACCTCCTATGGGTGTTAGAGAGCCATGGTTATGTGAAGCCCTAAACTAGACAGAAGGGTCAGTGTCTTTAGGTCAAAAGATTTCTTAGCATTCTGCCCGCCTGGCAGATTTCTGTCCTCCTCATTATCATTCTAGAGTTTCTGGAAGCTGAGGTCTACTAAGAAGTTCCAGAGGCAGAAAGTGAAATCCAAAACCTTCCTGTTTGAAGTTGGAGTTGAAACACCCACCTTGAAGTGAGAAAATAAGTCTGGCAGGATAAATTGAACAAGCATTTATAGCAGACAGATAGATGCTTGGTGCTGGGATGGGGCCTGTAGGTAGACCACAAAGAAAAGGGTGCAGTGGGATCCTTTTCTCTTAGAGAGCTCACAGTTTACGTGGCCCATTGGTCTCCTGGTGTTCTCTAACATCAAGGTTCTTTCTTCCTTACCCTCATCCTTTTTTTCCTCTTTTCAATCTCTTGCTTCCTACCTCCTTTTTTTCCTTTACTTTCTTTCTTCACAGAAGAGATGCAATAGGCACTGAGACATCACTGCTTTTTAGCTGAGCCCTGATATCTCTCCCCTGGACTGGGCTCTGATCCCCCCGCTGAAATGAGGGGCAATGAGGGTGGGGGCATCTGGCTTGAGTGCATATGTGGAGGGCGGTACCCAAGGCCCCTCACAATGTGGAGGAACCCCTTCCTGCCCAGGGGATTTTCCAAGAGACAGAGCTGGGGAAAATCCTTATTGATACACACTAATAATTCATTCAACAAATGCTCAAGAAGCATATTGTATGTTCAAGACAGTGTTCTAGAAACCCGGGGTAAACCATTGAGCAAAATATATCAAGATCTCTTCCTTCAAAAAGTGATTAAATAATTAACCATATATTCTATCAGACGGTGATGAATATCTATAGGAAACATTAAGCAAGGAGGGAATAAAGAGAGGTAGGGGTATGAGACATTGCAATTATTAACAGAATGGTCAGGGAAGACTTCATTGTAAAGATGGAAATGGAGTCATCCCATCTGATGGCAAGGAACCATCAGATGCTTGAGGATGGAGCAACCCAGCAACAGGCAAAGAATATGCAAAGGACCTAGGGAAGGAACATCTCTGGCAGTTTCCAGGACCCTCAGGAGGTGATGCTGCTGTGGCTGAAATGTAGTGAGTGCAGGAAGTGAGAGGAGATGAATTCACAGAGGCAAAGAAAACACATTCTATATGGCATTGCAAGTCACAAACATCCTGTGGTTTTTAGAGCGAGCGACATGGAAAGTATTGGAAGGTTTTGAGCTAAAAATTAACATGATCTCACTTGGGTTGGTCTGCTGAGAATGGACTACTGATGGTAAGGGCAGAACAAGAAGGAGGGCACTGGAGTATTCAAGGTGTGAGTGATGGTGGCTTGAGGCAGGGTGGTGGCTGTGTTGATTCAGCATGGCTGGTTAGCTTTATGCACCCTGGTTCTTCCCACAGTGACTCCAGATGTTTCTGCTTTGCTACCTCTGGGCCTTGGCCCTGGAAGCCACTGAGGTGTCAGCCAGGGCTGAGCCAGCATCACTTTGTCCATCCAAGTTTTCTGAGGGAGAAACTAACAGAGCAGGTGGCTAAGGAGCTCTAGAGATGTGCTGCTAGGGGCGCTCTCACCTGGATGTTCTGTTTCAAAATAAGTGGGTATTTCTGGCTGCCTTTTGAGAATCCGTTATGCCCAGCGGGTCTCCCTGTGTGGTGATCCTGCCTATTATGGTGGTTATTCTGATGATATCCATTGCTGTATGCATCTATTGGATCAACAAACTGCAAAAGGGAAAAAAGATTCTCTCAGGGCAAAAGGAGTTTGAAGAGGAAAGGAAAGAAACTGCACTAAAGGAACTGGAGAAAGAACATGTGGAAAAAGAAAGAACTTCAAATACAAGGTAAAGGAGGCCGAGTACAGTGGCTCATGCCTTCAATCCTAGTACTGTGGGAGGCTGAGGCAGGCAGATCGCTTGAGCCCAGGAGGTCGACACCAACCTGGGCAATAAAGTGAGACCCTGTCTGTAATAAAAACAAAAACAAAACAAAAAGTAAGAGTAGGAGGACAGTTCACCATTATAGAAAAGACACAGCTCTCCCAGGTACCAGTGTATGGAAGAGAGAGGAAATACACGGCAGCAGCAGCAAGGACTTGGAACTCTCATGTCTTTGGAAGGAATCTCTCAGAGCTTTTGTTCTTTCATTCTGCCACCATTGCATTCATTCACCTGGCTACATAAAGTACTAAATGGTTGAGCAAAAGCAAGCGTAACAATGTACTGGTACTACCCAGCCACCTGATCACATGTCATTTCTGATTTCTGACAGTGCCCTAGGCATGAGGGAAGGGAGATGTTGCTGTTCATAGAAAGGATGGTTCCTGCATTGTTTACTATAAACCCAACTTCTTTTAGTTCTTCTATTGAAGATGTGATTTTGTTTCTGTTTGTTTTTCAGAGCAACTTCAAGAAGAATTGCGTAAGTTTAGCCTTTCCTGAACTACTCCATATACAATTTAAGTTCTGCTCAGTTAGCAACATCTCATGACATTCACCTCTGTCTGTCCCTTGAGGATGGTGAAGAACATTCTTACATGCTGATGAGTGCTCCTGATGTTCCCTCAGATCTCAGCTTTCTCCCCACCAGCTAGCTAACGGGACTCATTAGACAAGATGAGCAAGGGACTCAGGGCGAGGTGGGGACAGCAGGGAACTGGGGTCTGTTCATCAACAGTGTCCCAGCAGTGATGCATCATGGTTCTTCTGTCAGGGAATCCCGGCAGCTCTAAATCAACCCTATGGTTTACATCCCAGGATCCTTTCTCTTTTGGAATAATTTAATGCATGATGACAAGAGGTTTCCCATAGATAGTGGCCTCCCCAAGAGTTATGCTTCACTGGTTTTTGCTCTTTGATTCTGGATCAATTTGAAAGAAGACAATGCTGTCTTAGCAATTTATATACTAGGGATGGTGTAGACTGTGTATAGTTGAAGGCCCATGTGGGGAAGAGGCTATAAAGGTTCCCAATAAGCCTGACAGAATGGTATACAAATAGGTGGCCAGAAATGCCTTTCTGCTTCTAAGAGAGCACTGATACTTTGTGTATAGCCTGCCAGGGGAGGTGTCTGGGTGACTGGGAGAGCACAGAACCTAACTGCCCACTCCCAATGAGCACTTCCCATCGTATGATACAGCCCCTCTGCCCATAAGCACCACAGAATCCAAGTTTTACCAGATACCATGACACATGGACCTTTCCTCTTTAGGTGAATTTCAAAATTGCCACTGTCAACTTGGGAAAAAACAGCAAAATGTCACAACCAGATATTTCACCATGGAGAATAGAGGAAATCATTTTAACACAATGGAAAGGTAGACTGAATGAGAATAAATGCAGATGGGAGAAGCTTGCAGAATGCCCAGAGCCTGGAGCGTTTCTCGCACCGACTGACAGGAAATGGACCAAGGTAGGCACCTACATTTCCTCTATCTACCCATATGTTCTTTCCCCAGTTCCTTTAGCACAGTTTCTTTCCTTTCCTGATCAAACCCCTTTTCCACGGACAGAATCTTTTTTTCCATTTGGAGTTTGTTGATCCAATAGGTATACAGAAGTCATACCTGCAGACATCAGACCCATGTTGTTGAAGCAAAACTAGATGGAAATAGTTCCTCCCTACTTTTGCCTACAGACCCCTCAGGCAACAGGTTTTTTTGGGGGGGACATTTATTCTCCTTCTTTATCCTTAAAGGGTGCCCTTGTCAGTCGTTTAAATCAGTTGTCATCTGGTAAAAGGAACACATAGGACCAATGAAGAGACCCTTTATCCTCTAGGACAATGTGAAGGGAAAGACTCACCTTAGTTGATCAACTGGGGAGAGAAGGAGCAGGACATAATGCCTCTGTGCTGGTTTGAACCAGATAATTAAAAGGTTCTAACTAAAAAAAGTCCCAGAGATCCTAGGTCTTGAATAGAAAAGGGAATAGATCTTAGAATGCTGAGAGAAAGTGTAAATGATTAATTTGGGCTCGTTTCCTAAACTCTCTGGATTTCAAAGAGCCTCAATTCTTCTCAACCTGAGGGTACTGCTTCTGTCTCTGGAGAGACAGAAGTGCAGCTTCAGAGGTCGGGGGCCGTGGCCCACGCCTGTAATCCCAGCACTTGGGAGGCCGAGGCGGGCGGATCACCTGAGGTCAGGAGTTCAGGACCAGCCTGACCAACATGGAGAAATCCTATTTCGACTAAAAATACAAAACTGGTTTCGGCGCATGCCTGTAATTCCAGCGACTGGGGAAGCTGAGGCAGGAGAATTGCTTGAACCCAGGAGGTGGAGGTTGCGGTAAACCAAGATCAACCCATTGTACTCCAGCCTGGGCAATAAGAGTGAAACTACATCTCAAAGAAAACAAAAATAAAAACAAAAATAAAAAACCCTGCAGCTTCAGTAACTCTCAGGGTATGCGCTGCCTGGGATCAGGGGGCCTTCGTGGAAATGGCCCCTTCACGGGGATTCCCCTGTAGTTTTCTGAGACTTCTCTGGGGACCAGGAACCACACAATCCTGAGGGTTCCTGAGACCCAAGGCCTAAACCTGAGAATTCCTCTGCAGCCAGTGTGGTCCTGCACACAGACACTGCTCATCTCGATCTCTTATCAGATGACCAAAGAAGTGTGACATTGGCTCCCTCCAGGGAGAGCGTGCTATATAACCAGAGAGATTTCAACAGTCAGCTTTGTGACCTGGGCCGGGATAGCTTCGCCTCAGGGAAACATTACTGGGAGGTGGAGGTGGAAAATGTAATTGAGTGGACTGTGGGGGTCTGTAGAGACAGCGTTGAGAGGAAATAGGATGTCCTGCTACTTCCTCAGAATGGCTTCTGGACCTTGGAGATGCATAAAGGAAAATACTGGGCCCTGACCTCTGCTAAGTGGATTCTCTCTCTGAATGAGCCCCTTTGCCAGTTGGGCGTCTTCCTGGAGTATGAAGCTGGAGACGTCTCCTTCTACAACATGAGGGACAGATCGCACATCTGCACATTTCCCCGTTCGGCCTTTTCCAGGCCCCTGAAGCCATTCTTCAGGTTACAGTCTTGTGACAGCTGCATCTTCATCTGCTCCGCATTCACAGGAGCCAATGCGATCATGATGCCTGAAGAGGCCTGATAGTTCACAGATCGGGGACCCACCATGGCCCACAGAATCAGTTCCCTGGTGTCACAGCCATGGAGACAAGCCCTGGCCATCTCAGCAGCCACTGCATAATGCCCCTGGTAGAAGACATGCCCTCCTCCCTCCTAGTCACACAAGAGAACATCTTCCAGCTGCCTCTTTCACACCCAGTCCAGACCTCAGCCCCTGTTCACTCCTCACTAGGCTGTAGCTTTAGTAATTCCTTTGCTTGTAACTATGGGATGGGATCCAGTGTTAGAAATAAATGCTTGGTGCCCCAAAGAAGAGTCAGCACTCTGGCAAAAAGCTTTCTCAGCTAGGCAATTTACTTCTGCAGAAGGGTGCTGCTCGAAAGTCTGGTCACCACAAGAACACACCAAAAAAGAGGGAAAGAATTTTTATTCCTAATGCTGCTTGTCCCAGCTTCTGTGTTCAGTCACCACTCACCAGAGTTGGACTGCACAATCTTAGTTGAACCTGGTTAGCTAACTTGAAAGGGGCAGGGATGTGGTTACACTGGTTGGAAGGTCAGTTTCTGTGGGAAGAGCCGTTGTAACGGGAGGGGTAATTTACAGAGTGAGTAGCAGATGTGGGCTCTGTAGGTAAGGACCAGTGGAAAAGTTGTTTACTGAAACTAAGACACGGAGACATAAAGGATAAGGAGGTTAGTTTGGCCTTATAAGTAGGGAACAAAGAACAAGGGCATTGAACAAGCCAAACCTTTGAAGAGGAACTTCTTTTATATCTGACATCCAGGCATAGGGAACTAGGTGTTACACAGCTCCCAGCCAGGAAGAAAGTGTGAGAAGCTGATTGGCAGTGAACCTGCTCTTTAACATCAGGATGATGACATTGAGCCCAATATGCCAGTTGGCACCAGATGCTGTGGATTTGGAATGAGGCCAGCATCACCAGGATGTGAGAGGAGAGAAGAATCCACAGGACCACCAGAGGGAAAAGGGAACCAGATATGCAGGTCAGAGATAGAAGAGGTAGAACCAGAGAGCTGGGAGGGAGCAAGGTTGTGACGGTGGTTAAGCCCCACCATAACAACTAAGGGGTCCTGGGATATGATGGCTCATTTCCACCCAACCCCAGGATTTCCAGAGCACACACCCACAGGCCTGGCCCTGGGATGAAGATGAATGAAGAACATGGACTCATGTGGATGTGATTTGGCTCCTGTGTCCCTGCAATAAACAAGGAGTCAGTAGTTAGTCCTTGAGTGTGGTTGAGGTTTGAGGTCCCAGCGGAGCAGAGTAGTACTGGACCTGGTCTGCGTCAGCATTCAGGTTCAATGAGGGCACCAGTGGCTTCAAACTTCCCGGTCTAATTATGTCTTTAGACACTTAATAACTGCTGAGGGCCTTAGAAGCTTTTGTTTATTTGGGTTGGTATTTGTTAATATTTATGGCATTTATGATTGAAACAGAAAATGTTAAAATGTAGCTTACTGATTCATGTTAAAATACCATGAATGCACCAATTACAGGTTAATATAAATAGAAAGATTTGTGAAAAAAATCAACTATTGTGTCTAAACAAAAGAACAAGAAGTGTGACATTGGTTAACTTTTTCCAAATCTAATGTCTGGCTTAATGGAAGACATTTGTATTCTCATATCTGCTTTTGTATTAAATCTATTGGTATATCACAGGTTATATAGGCCCCCAAAAACCTTATTGTACCCTACCGAGAGAATGAAATCAAAAACAAAAAATGTTATATTATTAATATTATAATGAAAATAGTATTAACATTGGGGACTCCTTAACAGTATATCAGAGTTCACCCTAGGAATCCCCAGACAATATTTGGAAACTAGAATAGTGGATCCTGGACATTAATCCATGTGCTGGTTAATTTTAGATGTCAACTTGACTGGATTAAGAATACCTAGACAACTGATATAACATTATTTCTGAGTGTGTCTGTGAATGTGTTTCCAGAAGAGATTGGCATGTAAGTCAGTGGGAAATTCTCCCCTCCTGTTGGCTAGAGGCCCAACAGAACAAACGGCAGAGGAAAGACAAATTCTTCTCTCCCCTGAGACATTCTTCTTTTTCTGCCCTTGGACACCAAAACTCCTGCCTTTCCAGCCTTTCAGCTTCGGGAATTGTACCAGGATGCCCTGGGTTCTCAGGTCTTTCGGTTCGGACTGAGATTTACACAATCGGCGTCCCTAGTTCTGAGGCTTTCGGACTTAAACTGAGCCATGCTACCAGCACCCCAAGGTCTCCGGCCTACAGACAAGCTGTCATGGGATTTCTCAGCCTCCATAATCACATGAGAAAATTTCCCTAATAAACACTCACTCATGCATATATATCTATATCTGTATCGTATTGGTTTTTTCTCTCTAGAGAACCCTGACTAATACAATCAGGCATCTAAAATTCTGGCTTGAAAGGTAGCACTTTAGGTTTGAGACAATTCAATAATCCAACAGGACTGAAAAAAATAGTCCAAAATCATATTACTGCATTTACAAATAGACATATTATTCAATGAATCTGGAGTGATTCTTTCAACCTCTGTGGTTGAGGGCCAGATCATATATGGCCCTGAATGTCATCATGCTGACCTGCAGTTTACCTCTGAAAGGGGAGCACTGGAAAGTTTGGCAGAAAAAGGACTGGACTTACTTCAGATGCTAGACAGAGATGGGCTGTGTGTAGGGGTGGTAGATGGAAGCCTGAAGACCCAGCTGGGAGCTATTGCAGTGATCCAGAGGGGAGATGCCAGTGACTTGTACCAGGGAGGAGCCATGAAATTATATGATGCTGGATTTATTTTCAAGACAGGGTAAAAAGACTTAAATGTGGGATGTGAAAAAGGAGGGCATCAAGGGTGACCACAAGGTTATGGTCCTAAGAAGCGGTACAGATGGAGTTGGCACTTAGGGAGATGAGGAAACTGAGGGAGAAGTGCATTTTGAAGGCCAGAGGAGGAGCCAGCATGGAATTCAAGGTCACTTTTAGGCACGTTCAGGTTGAGGAACTTACTAGAGATCCCCGTGGAGATGCAGAGTAGGCAGGTCAATAATAAATGTGTAGGCCAGGCATGGTGACTCATGCCTGTAATCCCAGAACTTTGGGAAGCCGAGGCAGGTGGATCACCTGAAGTCAGGAGTTCAAGGCCAGACTGGCCAATATAGCGAAACTCAATGTCTACAAAAAATACAAAAATTAGCTGGGTGTGGTGGCATGCTCCTATAATCCTAGTTACTCAGGAGACTGAGGTAGGAGAATCACTTGAACCTGGGAGGTGGAGTTTGCAATGAGCCGAGATCAGGCCACTCCAGCTTGAGAGACAGAGCAAGACTCCATCTCAATACATACATACATACATACATACATACATACATACATACATACATAAAACTATAGTAATAATAACAAATGTGCAGTCCAGGCAACAGGTCAGGAATGAAACACAAGTTATTCTCTTTGTCTTCTGTATCTTCATGTTTGCTGCCACTGCCTGTTTCACTTTAATGCATTAGTGATCTATTGCTGCATAACAAATTACCACAAACTTAGTGGTTTAAAACAGCACATACTTATCATTTTAGTTTCTGTGGGTCAGAAGTCCAGGCAGAGCTTAGTGGGCTTCTCTGCTCTGAACGTCAGAAAGCAAAAGTCAAGGTATTGGTCAGGCTGTAGCCTCATCTGGAGTCTCAACTGAGGGAGAGTCCTCTTTTCAGATCACTCAGGTCATTAGCAGAATTCATTTCTTTACAGTTGTAAGACTGAGAGCCCCAGCTCCCTGCAGGCTGAAGCTGGAGTCTGCTCCTAAAGGGCTCCTCAGCTCCCTGCTATGTGGGTTTCCCACGATGACTACTTTCCTCTTCATAGCCAGCCAGGAAGACAGAGCCTCTAGAGTGGGTCAGCTAGCAAGACAAAGTGTTACACTACATAATGTAGTCATGGAAGGGACATGCCATCAGCTTTACCATACTTTATTGGTTAGCAGCAAGCCACAGGTTCAGCTCACCCTCAGGGAAAGTATGGGCTACAAACTGCAGGAGGAGTAATCATAAGGGGTCCACTCCAGAGTCTGTAGGAT